AAAATACCGCGCGGTGTGTTGAAGCGAGGCATGGAGCATGCCATTCAGCTTGCACTGGTGATTGTTTTACTCAACGATGGTGAACTGCACGTGGCTTTTGATAGGGCTTGTGCTGGGTGAGTGTCTTCTCTCCAGTGATGCAGGCCACCTTGAAGCGTGAATCCACTGCATCTCTCTCTCTCTCTCTCTCTCTCTCTCTCTCTCTCCAAATTCTTTGGTAACACTCAAACAGGACCAATGGATGCAACATGTGCCTAGCAGATACACTCTCTCTTCTCTTCTCTCTCTGTCTCTGTGCGTGTGTGTGTGTGTGCCTCTCTCTCTCTGTCTGTCTGTCTCTCTCTCTCTCTCACACTCACTCACAAAGCATGGATCCACTGCACTTTGTCGTTGAACATCTCAACACGCATGTTGACATACACTGTATCTCTCTGCGTCTTTTGATTTCTGTGTCGCTCTTTTTCTTTCTCTCTCAACTTGTGTATCTACAATGTACTTTGCTGTAATAAATTCTTTTGAAGTTCTGTCCTTATTTGACTGGAGTATTGATCGCGTATTGATCAAGCTCGGCACGAAGTATTGGCTCGCTTTCTCACATACTTACTCCTTTTTTCTGTCTGTCTCTCCATCTCTCTTTCTGTGTGTGTGTGTGTCTCTCTCACTCTCTGTTGACGTACCCTGTATCTCTCTTTGTCTATCTTTGTCTGTCAGTTTCTCTCTCTAACACACAGGCACAAGCTCTTTCTCTCTTTCAGTTTCTCTTCTTTTGTTGCTTTCTCATGAACACTAGCACACACACACTCTCTCAACATTGATCACTTATTCCCATCATGCTTTTTTTGGGTTTCGTTGCGATAGAATATTGTACTACTAGTACTACTGATGTACAACACTATTCTCATGCAACTGGAGGGTATATATTCGGGTGCTATTTGTTGTTGTGGCTAAGAGTGCATGTGTGCGGCCAGCTAGTTCCAGCATGCAAGGTGTTACATTTGCTACACTGTGGTCTTACAAGCACAGAGAACCATAATAATTATTATGTTCTAACTTTCCTTGATACAACTATGAACTGAAGCACAACTGCTGCAAACATTAACTGCCCATTTAGGCAAGATAGCAACAACTAAAAGTAGAAGAAGTAAGTAAGACTAGCGTCCTTCCAGCTCCAGGACAGTATGAACAGGCAGCAACATAAATTTTAACAGCATTGCATCGTACATGCATGTAGTCATGCAGAAATAATTGTACATTTAGTTGTGAATGCAAATCCAAGGCGGAAAGCAGTCAGGCGTAATAGATGCCAGCAATAGAAACCAGATCTGTGACGCATGTCACATGCATTCATGATGATCAATGCATCGTGGTTCACCACCATCGAACACAGTAGTACATGAAATTACACAGAAATAGGAGATTAAATCTAACATATCTCCCTCGTGAAAGGAAAGTGATAAATATCACATGAGTGAGTAAAAGACGAAGACAACAAGAAGAAAAACATGACAAAAACAATGGCAATTGAATATGAAAACTTGAATATGAAAACTCGGATGGAAGAAAAGGACCAAGGACCTACAAGACGTGCTAGAGCTGATAGCCAGTTTGTTGTAGAACGTCAGTACTGTCGGTCAGTTTGGTGCAATGTTATAATTATTGTTATTGCATGAGCTGATTGTCAAGTAACTGGTGGTGTTAGTGGACAGTATAGCATAACTTGTAGTTCTTTGGTCTTTTTTTCTTTGCTATGAATATGAAAACAATCACAGTTCGCTCAGTACTTGCACCTTTAACTTCCAGTGGCTCAAGATGATGAACTGCATGCTTGTATACCTTCCCAGCTACTTAAACTTCTACTATCCGAACAGCACCATCCTTACCTGGATAGGTCATAAGCACACGTCCAAGTGGCTAGTGTGCAGTTGCGGTGTGCTTATCCATCACAAGCACGATATCTCCTTAGGGTGATGCTGTTGAAGCAACCACATCACCTGGATGCTTAGCTTCGGAACAATCTCTTTCAGCTAACGTTTCCATACCTGATCTTCAATACGTTGCACAAACTCCCAGCGCTTTCTTGGGTGAGCTTGAGTCATTGTAGATGTGTTGGCTTCAGCAGCAATAGTTGCCCTAGCATGGCCAATGAAAAAGTGTTGTGGAAATAGCAGCTGAAGGTCTTCATGCAGCACTAGTTTAATTGCCTTGGCCATTACCTAGAACACACCACCAAAGTGTGGTGCACTTGGTGGCTTGAAGTTCCAGGTAATGTCGCGGTATGACCTTTCTGCTGCTAGTTGTCGAGAAACTTGACGGCTGCTTTTACCTCTTGATCAGCCACACGGAAATTGGTACCGTTGTCCGATTGCATCTCTTGTGGCACACCACATCGCATGGTGAATCGGGGTCTAAGAGCCAGGAGAAAACCGTTGTTGTCCAGAGATAACCTCGAAATGACAAGCCCTTGTCAGCAGGCATGTAAACACACATACATATCTCTTTGAGTTGTGACCGATCTCGACCCTGGCGTGCATAGAAGGGGATGACATAGCCGACACTAATTATGGCAAATGACTGATGTGGTCCAGTTGTCTTGAAGTCGGGAAGTGGTGGCATTGCTGGTGTTGCTGTTTTGATATGGCCCTTGCGGCAAAGAACGCACTTGGCCCGATGCCTCCAGGTGGCCTGCATCACTGGAGAGAAGCCACTCACCCGGCACAAGCCTCCACGAGTGCTGTGTGCTCCTCATCGTGAAGTGATACCTTTCCTAGTGAACGTCAACAGGCGTGTTGATGTGTTCGACGACAAAGTGCAGTGGATCCATGCGTTGAGGGGGCTGGATCACTGGAGAGAAGCCAATCATCTTGCGAGAGCAGTAGCGAGTGCATGTGCAGTTCAGCTCCTTCTCTGCATGATCAAGTTGCTACAGACCTTGCAAGCTGATTTCATACACCACTGCCACAGGTTATGTCTGTCAGCTAGCTACAGCAACAATATCCTCTTCATGAATGTTCAAAACTATTTTCTTGGGTCAAAATCAGCTCTCCACTGTCTACAACACAGCATGATCGCATGTGCATGGACAGGATCCGACTGCGATGCAGCTCTCCTGGAAGGAAGCAAAGTTCTCCTGTCGCCAATGCCATCGCTTGTCAGTGTCACTCCAGAAAAAAATAAATTTCAATTTCAGAAGCTACGAATTCAACGCATTCCAGTCTACCTCCACCAAGACTACTTACTACAGGGCATCTGATTTGACAAGGTATATCAGTAGGACTTGGAAAAGTCACAGTAACAGTTAACAGTTTGCAAGATCACTAGCCATTACAACAAGTATCAGAACATCAAAACAAACCTCGTGTAGATCCACAATTTCAGATTCAACCCATCGATCTACAAAATAGGTTCCCTTTCCCGCCAGTACATGCATGCATGCATGCTCTCACCAGGCCGGGAGTCGTCAAACGCCGGTACTTGACGACTCCCTGGCTCTCACTTGTCAGCCAGCTCACACGTCTTGTCGTGCACGCGCAGACGTCCAGCACACACGCGTGTCGAAATGTGTTTTTTGGCGGGTAGTCGGCAAAAAATTAAGTGAGGGTCCCTTTAGTCCTTCGCGTGGAGAATCTGTTCGGGATCAACCAAACTAACCTCGACATGGACGTGGGTTGTCGATGACAGCCTTTGGCGCAGTTTGTCGAGCAGGTTCTTTGATCTTGAAATGCAGGCATGAGAATAAGTTCCGAATCGCAAATTTCACACCAATCAAATGAACTGACCGAGTACTGTCCTGCACTTTGCCCAAGCATCCCAATATCTATAAAAAAGTAAAAAGGACCAAGGAACTACAAGTCACGCTATAATGTCCAATAACCACCAGTTACTACACAATCAACTCATGCGATAACATTGCACGACACTGACTGACGGTACTGACGTTCTACAACTAACCGGCTTACAGCTCTAGCACATCTTGGATGCGTACTCCAAAAGCCTTCCAGCTTGGAAGGTTCTAAGTTATAGAAATAACATAAGGAGGGGAATGTTAGCACAACCAAGATAAGCATGAGCTGAAAGTCTCAGCTGTGAAGGACGTTGGCGGATGTTCATGCATGTCGAAGTGCAGTGCTGTTTTACGGAGTTGTTTGGTGTTGCATGATTCTTGTCCGCATAGCTTCCCCTTTTCTTGATCTTTGCATCTTTTGAGCCACGCAGGTTGTGTGGAATGTTGCTTTGCTTTCTGGAATCGTGGTTTGACCGTATTGTCCAATGGTCTTGCCAGTATCGTTATCGACATGCATGAACATCCGCCAACGTCCTTCACAGCTGAGACTTTCAGCTCATGCTTATCTTGGTTGTGCTAATCTTGGTGTTTATCTTGGTTGCGACCACCTTCCCCTCATTATGTTAACCTTCCAAGTTGGAAGGCTGTTGGAGTGCGCATCCAAGATGTGCTAGAGCTGTTAGCCAGTTAGTTGGTTAGATGGCTCCCATCATCCAAAGACCCCTTAGCAATCACACCCGCCTGTTGCCCGCCATCCTCCTCGCACCTCCACCCATCTGCTGTTCACTGCCTCCCCAACGCCTCTGTTCGCGCCTTTTTTTTACTCACACCTGCCTGTTGCCCGCCACCCTCCTGGCACTTCCACTCACCTGTTGCCTCTCTTAGCGACTTGGCCCATGCTAGCTTTCTCCCTATACCTTACGTCAGGCGCGTGCGCCGGTGCCCTTCAAAGGGGGGCGGAGGGGGGTCCGGGGGCCTTCCCCATGAGCATTTTCAAAACATGAAGCAAAATTCTGCATTTTGAGTGAAAAAAGGGGGGTTCCGGGCACCCAGGAACCCATACGGGTTCTGGGCACCCAGGAACCCATACGGGGCGCCCTCCTGCCTTACGCCACCATACTTAGTGCTAAATTTGTTTATGCCTGTGACTCGATGTTTTTATAAGCATACTGCTGGCAGCTCGGGGATCAACGAATTTGCACTTACATTTGTCCTATATCGGTGTTGAGCTTTCCCTTTTTGTAGTATAGCGGTAGACCGTGTTGGAAAAGTCGAGGTGAGCTAGTAACTATGGGACAAGCATTAGATTGACATTCCTCTGTATAGGCTGTTGAAGAAACAACATAAGACCATTAATTTAACCCTTTCAGCACGCATCACGTATATGTCCGTGATGGTACATGTAACTGGCCCACGGATCACGTATATATACGTGATGCGTGGGCCGTGAAAATGAACGTACATGTACTCCCGAGACATCCGTGGTCGACGGATCTTATCCCTACGTGGACCAGTGACGTGCTGGATGAACGTCGACTGTTCTACGATAGTACTGACGGGCGCACGTGTGCCGCTATGCACGCGTACTAGTACATAGATGTCGCGTGCGAACATGCATTCCGCAGAAAAAATTGTGAGTGAATAGGACTACTTTTGGAAAATCACGAAAATCACGGGTTTTGGCTCCGCGGGTCAGTTGCACACCCTGGCCGTGCTGAAAGGGTTAAGATCAGGAACACACCGGAGAGCGATCGTTCACATTCCGTGCACACTCCAAGTGAATGGTTGGAAACTGATTGCATACTTCACAGGGGCATGGGAAGATATTTGAGTGTACGGTACGGTCAGCTATCTGAAGTACAAGCCACTCGTAGCGGAGAGGTGAGCTGAGCCGATTATTTTGGAAAAGTAGAGCCCAGATCAGTGTATTTTATTGATTCAAGGGGTACCTGGGGCAAATGGTTGTTTGTTTGTTGTTTGTTAGTATTCTTTATTTAGAGTGGGAAGTCCAAAACAGGCCCTAGCCTAATAACAATGGTCTCACTAGTGAGGTAATGCTGTATATCTGTGCATAAGGATCAAACAAGTCTGATGAAGTGTTTTGACACGAAACTCGGAGTAACAGCGGAATGAGACTAGTTTGATTCATTGCTGTGTAATATCTGTGTGAAATATCTGTGTAATATCTGGGCATAAGGATCAGTGAGTGTGGTGCGGTCAGTACCATAGTGACTGTACCGTGTCCAAAACCCCTGCTGCACATCACCTACTACTTTTGCACTGCCATACACGACAAAGGTGTACAACCAAATACGTATGTACACGCGCGCGAACACACAAACACACACACACACACACACACACACACACTTTTGACCATTGACGCCCATCGCTGGAGGTGGTGATAGCGATGCTTCAGCAAAAGCCATAGCAACTTGTGCTGGCATTGCACCATTCAACAGCTTGCAAGGCTGAAGAATTGACTGCCACTATGCAGCCTGGTCTACACCACACAGCTATTTGAAGTGACTTTTTCTGACCAGTGAATCCCTAATTTTTGGTCTGTTTTCCTTTTTGCTGACACACATCACACCACATCCTCCGGCATGCACTTCTTCTTGGTAAAGAGGAGAATGAAAGAAACTTGAGGGATTTGAGAAAGAGAAGAAAGATGTGTTGGACCATAATCGTCGGGAATTGAACTGCAACCTCTCAACTGGAAATTGACTGCACATACCACTGCACCATATGGTGCGTGCATTCACACACACACGTGCACACACACACACACACACACACACACACACACACACTATACTCACGAGTACAAGCGTCGTTTTCCTCGATGAACGGCCATAAGCATTCGCATGTGCCAAGCGTTGAGTTGCCACACACATAGTTGGCTGAACATGAGGAGCATCCCACTGTGCAAGAAAAGACAGTGAGAGTTAGGGTGCGTCCTTTTATTCTTCTGTCTCTCGTAAAAAAAATCTGCAGATCCGACGGATCTGAGATCTGGATCTGGATCCGGATCCGACCAAACCATCATAGCCTTAGTATTTACTCCAATTCACTTTTGCTATACATTTAAAGCAGTCAAATAGTCCTGCATATTTTACTGCTTGGGGCTACATTAGGGACGTTTAGCGTTTAGCGAAAGTTCAAACCTTTGTGGGCATGATATTTCGCGAAACTTTATTTCGAAAAAGGAAACCTTGTGAGGTCTAGCAACGCGAGAAGACTTTTTCTTGACGTTATTTAAATTCTATAGTACCGTACCGTGTATGCAGGTCTGTCTCAAGCAGGTGGCTGTAAATGTACTACTCCAAGCCGTCTAGTGCGTACCGAGGAAAGAGAAAATAACTTTCCCAGCCCACTACAATTTCGCGTCCAAGTTTTGGCAGCTTCGATCCTTGTTTCTGTACTCATTCCCAGACTCGAATTTTCTTTCGAACTTTCGTATTGCTAAACGTCCCTATTGGCTGCATGCAATTGACTCCTTTTTAGGGATTGAGCAAATGCTTTGGTTTGTTGAGATAAATCCAATATTGACGTTGTACAAGGTCAATATGAGAAGAAAAAACTTCATAAAAGACCCTGGCTTTGCCCCGGTCTTTTACTGAGCTTTTATTTCCTACATTGACCTCGTCCTCGTGCTCCGTAGTATTTTTAGCATAATAGTCCGCTCCCAGCCCGTATGGCTGTGGATGCACAGGTAGCAAACTAGATCACTTAGAGTGCTGATTCACTACAACCGCCAGGCGTCATGGCCGGAAACGGAGCTGATACGGAGCCCTGGCGACAGCTCTCGTCTTCGACACTGAAGAAGAACACTGTTGTATTCCCCTCGCAAGCCCAGGTAAGCGTGGGGGCCTACATAAAGCTCCTAGAAGAGCAAGGTATCACCGGCATCATTTCGATGCAGACAACAAGCACGGGTCAATGTAGACTTACCATTAAGTCATATGAAAAAGCAAAATTGTTGGTGCTCAATGGCTTCGATTGCAAGGGCGAACAGGTTTCACCATGCTTCGTTTCCGCACCAACAACACAGTTACACATCCACGATGCTCCGATCTCGATCTCAGACGGTGTCCTAAAAGCTGCGCTCTCACCGTACGGAAAGCTTATCGGTGAGATACGACACGGCAAAATCAAACTTTCAAACGGCACCCAAACAGCAACTGGTGTGCGATTCGCCACGTTTGAACTCAAACCAGGCAGTTCGATCCCGTCGTACCTGCGTACGACAGAAGGTTCCCACGAGCTCCGCCTCATCTACGACGGCCAGGTAGGCACGTGCAGGCTATGTGGCCAGCTAGGTCACATCGCGTACCTGCGAAAACCGTCGCAGTGCACACACCTCCACGCATGCCGGCAGAGAAGGCAGCAGCACTGGCAGCACAGAGCGGAACATGAACAGCGGAGCTGAAGCGGAGTCTCACCGTACCGATTCGGCACCAAAAGCGTCCCCGAGTTTGACCCACGCCAGCGTCGTATCCCAAACGGCCTCCGACGGTGCCAACACCACGCCGAAAGCAGACCTGCTCCCGAGCTCGCACCCAAACGACCCAATCAACAACCAGTACGAGTCGTACGAACACGACATCGCATCGCCCATGTCGGCAACCAGCACGACCGTGCACCCCGGAACGCCGCCAGGCAGCACAAATACAAGTACGACAACATCCAACTCACCGCACACCGACACAACTACTCCGACAACAAAGTGTAATCACCCAGATTCGGCGCGTGCTGAAGACCTCCTCTCCTCACTGGTGACTAACACAGACATGTCTAACCAGCCAGCAAACCCCTGGATTACCTCCGAACGACGCAGAAGACACAGTCCCAATGCGGAATCCTCACCTGATTTTAAAAATTCCAAAAAAACAAAAAGAGAGCAACAACATCGACCCTGGCCAAAGCCAACCCCTTGGCCCAGCACAGGGCTCACGCTATAATGCCTATAATTAAATATGCATGCATTGCTGTCACCCCGCTCTCAATCGCAGCCCTTGACCGTCTTGAGCGAATCCAGTGCAAGGCGGCCAGAATCTGCCTTCGCCTCCCCCTCTACACTCCTCTGAATCATTCAACACTGCTCCAACAGCTCAAATGGCCGACAATGTTCTCTCACCGCAAAGTGAAGCTCACCCTTCTTGCTCACTCCATAAAATACCAATATGCCCCACAACACATACGCTTGCTCAACACCCCCGCTCAAGTTACGGCCCAGTACAGCCTTCGACACGCACGCACTTGGCACCTCCCACCCTCCAGAACCGATCGCTGTAAAGACTCCCCACGGTACAAGTCCCTAGAATACTACACTGCCCTCCCTGCTAGCATTCGTGACGTCTCCTCCCGACCTGCTTTCAAACAAGAAATCTGCTCACTGCTGATTAACTCAATCTGATCCTGCAGCGCTCACCCTCTCCCATACTTGTAAAGTTCAAAGTGATGTAAATCACTTTCCAACTGTTTAACCCACAATCTCACCTTCTCATAAATTTATCTCTTATTGGCGATGGTGCCATCGTGAGAATAAAGAATTCAAACACAGGCTATCGTGAGAGTGAAGACTACCACACACCAGCGCACGGCACCGACAATGCAAAAGCAGGAGCAGCAACACCAGCAGCAGCAACAACACCAGCACCAGCAGCAGCAGCAGCACCACCACCACTACCACCACCAACAGCACAAGCAGCACAAGGCCGTCACAAGGCCGTCACAGCTGGGGCGGCTGAGGCCGCCCCACTTTTTGGGTTTTTTTTAGCACACTGCAACAAAGCGCGATGATTGCAGCTCAGCGCAAACGTGGCAAATCCTTGTCCCCGATCGTGGTTTGTTGCAGAATCAAAAAATCTGCCATTGCAGTTACACTGAAATGACACCAAATGTCTGGAAATGCTTGCAAATTGGCTTCACTGTTTTGAATTTTTTCCCAGGGGAGGGTAATGTTTGTCCCCGACCGTAGTGTCTTCTTGGTTTGTTGCAGAATCAAAAAGTCTTTCATTGTAGTTACACTGAAATGGCACCAAATGCCCGGAAATGCTTGCAATTGGCTTCAATTTATGAATTTTTTCCGGGGGGAACGACCCCCGGACACCCCTCCATGGCCGCCCCACCTCCAAAGTTGGTGCGACGGGCCTGCAGCAACACCAGCAGCAGCAGCAGCAACAACAGCAGCAACAGCAACAGCACAAGCAGCAACAACAGCAGCAACAGCAACGGCAGCAGCAACAGCAGCAGCAGCACCACCACCACCACCACCACCAGCAGCAGCAGCAGCAGCAACAACAGCAGCAACAACAGCACCAGCACCACCACCACCACCAGCAGCAGCAGCAACAGTCATCAGCTGCATGCCACTGAAACCCACTCACTTGATGACGACGATGTACCGCTAGCAGCGGACGTTGTGACGCCACTAATGCAGCAGACAAGGGCTATGAGCAGCATGGTGAGCTGGAGAGGTGTGCTCGACTTGTCTGCCGCCATTTTCTTCACCATAGTGACGGTGCGGCAGCAGCAACGAGGTGGCAGATATGCGCTGTCGGCCGACCGTGACCTGGGCAGCAAAAGGTGGTGAGGACATCATTATTAATTTTTAAACTCAGACGGAGCAAGGATTAATTTACTAGTACAGCTAAACCTGTCGTTAATGACCGCTCATTCTGGGTTGGTTGGTTGGTTGGATTTATTTAAAGTCGTACAACAAACAGGCATATCGGCCTCCTTATATGGGTCATTCGAGAATTGTAAAACCTGGGTCAAGAACATGTACCATACTCGTTCGACCAGAGCCCTCTCTTGACTAGTGCCCTATCTCGAATAATGCCCCAGTCTCTAAGAACCGGTGAAAAAACACAACCCTCTGTTGAATAGTGCGTGTGGCTCATTGGCATGCCACTGTTGCACGGTGAGCTCGAGACTGGCTAGACTGGCTTGATCATCCCACTGCTTCACAAGGTAATCTAGGGTGGTACGGTAAGCCAACCGAAGAACTATTATTTTACTCCCAGGGTTGGGGTGGATCCTCCCAAAACTTTCGAAATTTAGAGCCCAAATCAGTGTATTTCATTGATTCATGGGGTACTTCTAGGGTTCTCTGTAAAAAGGCGCTGACGCCTGTTGGGAATTACCTAGTAATAGAAGAATAAATAATAATATTAAACGAGAGAGCTTGGAAGCCCTACGCTATGCTTTTTTGCCGTGATGACCTAGACAAAAAAAAGCATAGGGATGTTATAAATTCTTTAAAAAATCCTTTTTTAAGACATAACCTGGGATTCGAGCCCGCACTATTGTGTGCCCTGCATGCATCCCCCGATACACTTCGCATACATACTAATTCTTCCAAGTTGCGTCACGTTATGATCTTGCATTTGAAAGCCATACTAGTATTTGAATATGCATGCCAGTGCCAGTGTTGCCTGCCTTCGCGGTGCCCGGCGGATGCGCCGCGTCAATGATCAGTCTGCTGTCCTCGCAAACGCGGAGGCTGCATTGATTTAACTTTCTTTGCAACTCCTGCAGTCTAGATACTGAGTATCATTGTTATCTTGTGTGTGTGTGTGTATGTGTGTATGCGTGAGTCAACAGCTTTGATAAAGTTATTGTGTTTACCCCTCTTGTTTTCTCATCATTGTGTTGCTTTTAATTTTTAATCTTGCCCGTAAAAGAGGCTGTTGTTACTTCAAAAAAATGTAAAAATATGCATTGTGGCCAGCCGTCTTTGATGGTACGGTACAGGATAGGTACGGGACAGGTACGATCGAGGGTAATACGACACCGTCTACCGCCTTGATGACGGCAAAAAAAGCATAGGGATGTTATACGACACCGTCTACCGCCTTGATGACGGCAAAAAAAGCATAGGGATGTTATAAATTTTTCAATTCTCCTATTTTTTTTCAGGCATATCCTGGGATTTGAACCCGCACTATCGCCCTACATGCATTCCCCCATACACTTCGCATTCATACCCATTCTTCCAAGTTGCTTCACGTTATGATCTTGCGTTTGAAAGCCCTATTTGAATATTGCGGCCAGCTGTATGCGGCCAGCTGTGTTTAATGGTACGGTACGGTACGGGACAGATACGGGCTAGCGCCAGGTGTGACACAAACAAACACCAAATTAAAGCTGTGTGGATCCTGGCTAGCGCCAGACGTTACTGAAGTAACGTCTTCTGCATAGCTACGGGAATAAATAATAATATTAAATAAATAATAACTTGGGGCAAAGAGTGGTAAGGTCAATACCGTAGTGACCACAGCGTGTCCGAAATCCCCTGTTGATCAAACTGCTTCGACACCACCAGCCCTGCCTCGCTTATAGGGCCGGTTGCACTTGGGCAGACCGTTACAGGCAGGTCTCCATGAACCAATACAGACTGTACACTGAAAAATTTCGAAATTCAGAGTCCAAATCAGTGCTTTTGATAGATTCACAGGGTACCTGGGGCAAAAAGTGGTACGGTCAATACCATAGTGACCGTAGCATGTCCGACGTCCCTGCTGCCATTTCCATGTACAACGTGCATATGTAATGCTACTGCCTAGCGGCTCACCCTCATGGCCGGTTAAAGCCTAGTTCACATTCGACGGGGCGCGACGGGACGCGACGTAAGGATCAACGAGAAGCGACGGGACGGTCTGACGGCGTCCAATGTGAACACCAGGAACGGGAACGCAACCGTACTACCGTACAGATCGGGAAGCGACGGGAAGAGTTGGATCGATCCAACTTTTCTTACCGTAGACGGGCGTAGACGGGGACGCAAGCGTACAAAACGGCTGCAATTCGAGTGTGAACAGGAGACGGTGTAGTGCGCCGACTACTCACTATTCGTACTTGGATATTTTTAGCATTTCGAACACTGCGCTTCCCATGATAACTCACAGAATGGCTAGCACGACTTGAGTTGAATTTTAGCAACATAAGGTCTCTTGTCACTTATTGTATTTAGGGATAGTTCAGAAGCTTGACAGACGAACTATTCTATCATTTCCTGGGGCTATTATTTGAATGCCACAACTTTCAGGGCTAATTTTTTGATCTTCATAAAAACACTGGTATTGTGAACTTGATTCCGCTTCTTTCAAGGAGAAACAATTGAAAATAAGTCCCGAAAAACGAGAAATTAGGTCCGAAAGTCACCCCGTCGCGGACCGTGCCTTATGACTCGCGCCGTTCGACGTTGCACGTCGCAACGACTGCTGCATGTCGTGTCGTACGAATCGTACAGAATTTTACAGCTCACCCCAGCCCTCCCGACAAGCCCTTACGTCCCGTACCGTCGGCGTTGCGTCAAATGTGAACTAGGCTTATAGACAAAAGTAGGACCGGGGCGCTGCACGGCCCTTGCAGCGCTGTGTACACTAGGCTGTGCCAACAAACACAGCACAATTCTCTGTTAACGCCGGAAAAGTCCGCTGTTCAGTATTGCACTTCGTACAAGACCAACTCCCGTTGCACGTACTCAGTAAACTCCCCCGAAGGGAACTCAAGACGGCCGTTAACACCCGGTAAACCCAACACCCATTGCACGTATTGTAAACTCTCCTTATCCCAACATCTCTACTCGGCACCCTTCAGACACCTCTAAATCACAGAAGAAAGGCTTTTCAACTGTGCCAAGTTAGCAACATAGTGTTGGTCTTCAAAGTACTTATCTACATACAAGGAGAATGCAGGCTTCGAGTTCCGTCAAAAGTACATGACCCTCAAGAGTGTGCAACTCCACTATTAGCTGCTGCTGTCCTGGTGGAATTTCAAGTTGAAGTCATTAATTTTCATGATGCATTCACTGTACATGTATTATCAGACATATCCTGGACCTGTGGCGGGCACATCTCCGTGTGTGCACTGTGCAAGAAAGCACATGTGATGCGTTGACGCCCAGTACAAACGTACGAGGCGAGTTGCATCATAGAAATGACGTAAACTTGAAATTCTGTCCGGAAAGCAGGGTACAGGCCTACCCTCCTTAGTAGGACATCAGTTACAAGACAAATCTCTGTTAGGCAGTGTTCAAAATCCCTGGCGCCTGAAATGTGTACATTCAACACCGGATAGCAGATAACACGTGTTATAAGACAAACAATTTGAAACCCCCAGGGTTGTCTTCTAACGAGGGTAGACCTGTATGGCATGGAGCTGCACACTCTTGTGGGGTGGGGCAGGGGGCAGGGGGAGGGAGGGGGGGGGGGGAAGGAGGGGGTCGTGCAGCTCTGCAATAAAAAAAGTACCCTTCGTTATATGCAGTGTCATGCCTGGCTCCAGCATGACCGGATTGGGGAGTTCTACTGCACGCGAAATCATGTAGCTACATGCATATCAGGGTTCTAGCCAAAAAGGGGAGTGTGGGGGGAGGGGTGCAGCCCCCCCCCCCCCCTTCCCTCCTACTCATTTTCCGATTTTTGTGTATTTTTCATGCTATTCAACGAAAATGAAGTCGATACTCAGAAGCAGAGGGTTCATAAAGGTTCTTGTCTGGGGTGAAGCCAGGGGTTCGCCCACTTACGTTGCATTTTTCATCGCAAGAAAATTTTGGAAAATGGAAAAAATAGGTTACGTGGCAGCTGCGACCTCTAGTCAGGCTCGCCCCTCGCTTCTCTGTGCTCTGCGGATGCCACCAGCAACAACGAAACAAAAATGTAATAATACTGACGGTGCCTCCAGGTTGCATACATATGGGCAGTGAAGTGCACTTCTTCAACGATACAGTGAACTGTACCGCTTTCGTTTCTCTTTTCAAAGCAAGCTTCAATTCAAACTTGTTAAAAAGAATGTGACGCCTTGTTTGGAATTACGTTTAGTACTTGGCCTGAACCCGATCGCATCTAGACCTTACCTGATACGGATATGGACGAGAGACCTCTTGCTGATCCAAGCGACAGAAACGGTCACTTCCTAAGCTGCTGCTGGGATGCTGTAGCCTTCCACAGCTGATCGTTGTCGTGAAGTCCACGTCGACACAAAACCTACTGTCAAAACTAACAACTAATGCCAACCGAAACCTGAATGCGAACAAAATAACATCTAGCTCTGTGGCTGCTTCGGGCTCAGTGCTCCTGTAGTACGAACACTGAAGGAGGCTAGCTCACAGGGTGAACGCAAGTGGCCCAAGCCACGCACCTCAATGATTTCCAAATATAGACTCGCACAAGGAAGATTGCGCTCAAATCAGTCACTGAGTACAATGTACTTTCTTTTTTAGAAGTAAAGTTAGCAGCAAACAGTTCAGGTTCCCAGGCATGCCAGGCGCGGAACTACTCGGGAAATTCGAAAGCTGCCTTGCTACAGAAAACGAGATGACAACCCCTGGCCAACACGCAGCCAGTGCTGCAGCCAAGAAACTGGACATGACGCTGAGAGTAGTACAATAGTGTAGTACAACATGTACTCCATGTAGCAAAGAAGTGTGCTGAGCTGTACGTACTGGACCAGTGCAACAAATGGGTTGGAAGCGAAGACGCGTATGCAGTAACCAGCTAGGTAACCGTACTGACCGTATACACAGTTGAGACATCTAACATTTTCTTGACAAATAATTAT